CATCAGACAGTTTTTTCAGACATCAGACCTGAGCATTTAAAATTCTAGGCACGTTTGAATCATTGGAGGAGATGAGAGATGCGCGGTTTGAGTGTTGAGTGATAGACGATAGACAATCAGTCAGGTAACGTCCACTTGGAAATACTTTTTTTAATTCAGCATTAGTTATTACAAAACTTTAATTTTTAAATATTTTCAACTGTCTATTTGCATTTTTATGAAAAAAAAATAATTTTATATATTTTAATCTCTGACAACAAGAGAGTCATTTAAAAATCCTTCGTGTGTCAGTGTCTGATTTGCGGTTCTTAGGCGGCCACCACTGTTCTAAGATATGCTTGAATTGTTCCTAACAGTTCCCTCTCCTAAGTACTATATCCTATTTTGAGCATTAGGATTTTAGAAAAGAATGCTAAGGGTTTCCAATTGCCTTCGTCCAAATGTTGCCATACAGTTTCAACTGTATAGTTGGAAGCATCACTCAAGAGAGCTAATGATGAGTCCGAATTAGGAAAACTCAACAATATATCATTTGCCGTATCATTTTTGCATTACTGAATTATTCTTTGGTACATGATATTTTAGGCACCGTTTAAAAGTTATAAATAAAAGGACACCGACACATTTTTCAACCACAAATTCAGCAGATAAATTTTATTTTTAAAAAATATTGTGTAATTTAAATTTCACATTGGTCAAAAATAAAAAAAAACATTAACAAAACTTAAAGTTCAGTTTTAACTTCGAAATACACACCGGTCATATCCCACCCACATGTGAAAAGCTCCGGGAGGTGCAATGAATTTATGAAAGCGCTTTATTCTTTCCTTATACGATAAGAAACTTGATTCAACGGTTCTAACCGGCCCAAACCGGATTAAACAGGTCCAAACAGGCCTAATTCAGTTTGATCCGGTTCAAGCCAGTTTGAAAGGGATACCACCAGATTAAAATCGTTTAAAATGGCTCAAACCGTTTCAGACCGGCTTCAACCAGTTTGAAGCAGTTTAATCCGGTTTGACACGGATTTAACTGGTTTAAAAGGATCTAATTGGTTCTGACAGGACTAAAGCGGACGGCTCCAAACAGATTAAACCGATTAGGACCGATTACCAGTCGGAACTGGTTTGAAAAAGTTTAGAACCAGTTAGACCCGTTTTGAAGCAGTTTAAACCGGTTCAAACCAAACAAAACAACCAGTTGGAACCGGTTTCGAAAACTTTGAATTGGTTGGAACCATTTGGAGCCTGTTGGAACCACTTGGAACCGGTTGGAACCAATTGGAACTGGTTGGAACCACTAGGAACCGGTTGGAGCCTCTTGGAGACACACTGGAACCAGTTGGAATCAATTGGAGCCACTTCAAACCAGCTGGAAACATTTGGAACCGGTTCTGACCGCTTGGAACAAGTAGGAACCACTCGAAACCAGTAGGAACCACTCGAAACCAGTTGGAACCGCTCGAAAGCAGTTCGAAGCACTTGGAACTATTTGTTATCACGGTAAAATCCTAGTATACGGTGCAGCCTTGGCGCGACTTTGAAAATTATCGCCAACACCAAAAATGATCCAAAGAACATCTATATATATATACACTATACACACATAGTATATGTATATACACACATAGTATGTACTATGTATATACTATGTTTAACTATATATTTTCTTTTAATGACCCGTTAACTACTCATCGTATATGTCCCGTTTTTAATGCTCATCATAAAGTCGCCAAAAGTAGCCAAATCCCGTGTGCACCGGATACTAGGATTAAACCGTTATCACTTGGAACCAGTTGGAACCAGATGGTACTGGTTGGAACCTTTTGGAACCAGTTGAAACCGGTTGGAAAAATTTGAAACCGTTGAAATTGTTTACCACAATATGCCGAGATTATAATAACTGGCTCAAACAGCTGCTCATTTTTTTTTTTTTTTTCGGTGAGCATTTTCCAAGGAAATGTGGGTTTGGAAAGCCAATACCCCTTGTGATGTTTTATCGGAAATGATGTAAGCTAATTCTTTCACAATAAAGGACCCTTGAGAAGTGTAGAAACCTTCAACTCAAGCACGAGCTCCATTCCCCTTTTTCTTTTCCAAGGTGACCTTCTTATTTAAAAACAATAACTGTTCATTCATCAAGTGAATCTCGATAAGATTATTAAAAAAATTGACCTTTATGAATTTTTTTGGACACATTCTCTATTGAGTATAAAAGAGGGTGTCGCAGAGAAGCTGAATTATTCCTTCAGGAGTATACAGAGAGAAAGAGAAATTTGGGGGTAAGTGAGCATTTTTTTCCTGATGTTATTTTCATTTAAGCTTTGTCCTGCAGCTTTATAAAATACTCCTCCAAACTTTTAAATCTTTAAAAGAAGCAGACGTGTTTTTCACCCCTATTATTTAAAGCATTTCCTTTTTCTTTAAAAAATGATAGATTCTTTAATTAAATTTGTCATCATGAGTTCTGATCCTCTAACGAGTTCCTCTAATAACTTCAAGAATTTGTATTTATCATTTCCTTAAGACAAAAGGAAGAAATAGTTATTCTTCTTCAATAAATACAAAGAGCTAAATACTTTTAGTTATTAAGGAATAGAATGTCATAACTTACATTTTTCATAGCTTATTCACCCATGGATCATCAAATTTAGAAGCACCTCCAAGATGAAAGTTTTTTATCACAATAAAATATGCCATATTGCTTAAAACAGCAGAACAGCATTTTTCATTTAATTCGAAACTGTACCTATAAATGCAACAAATATGTATACTTCTGCGATGTTTTCACGCAAAATAAAGAATTGTTTTATATTTGACTTAGCATCGTGAATATTTTACTAACATAGAAAGTTATATTATTTTCCGAAGATAATAGCCATGGAACATTCACAGATGATCGAGTATGTAGGAAAACTCGAGTAAAAAAAACTCTGGTTAAGGAAAACTCTGGCATTTTACAGTCACCCGGAATCATTAGAACAGGACGTTTAAAATTGCTAGTTGGTACGCTGTATTTTCAACCATAAGTTGGCAACATGAATGAGTTATACCGACGATGTAGAAGTACTCAACATAAGGTTTCAATGCACATTTGTAACGCTTTGAAGAGATATTGCTTACCTTGCTGCAGCAACAAAAATCCCTAACAACAGTTGCCCGAAAATAGGAAGCAACACTGAATATAGTGTGGGGAATTGTCATAGTTCTTGAGACAGAAGATACATTGGAATACAAAGTAATACGATTTCGCCAGCAGATAACTATCAAACTTTAAAAGGCATCTAGCATGAGATTCGCTAATATTAGAATGCTTCAATACTCACAGATACATTGAGTTTGTAAGTATATAGCTGCAAGCAATGTGGGTTCGCTTTTATTTTTATACTTTAACTAGCTTCAGATGCCAGTTAAGTTTGATTATGAGTAATGTATCTAACAACAGAGATAACATTACCACTATAATCCTTCTCTAATTACTGTTTGTTCCGCTAGCAACTCTCAGTTTATTCTCAATGTCTCTCAATCTGCTTCGCTCTCTTAAGCACGCTGTTATCGTGCTTAAGATGCAAATTGAGCAACCGATTTTCGCTCAGGTGGTATAATTCATTTCACAGCAAAAGTAACGCTTTGTGACGACTATTACAAATTCACTTTCAAAAGCAAAGAAAATGCGTGTGATGTAATAGCACACATGTTAATACGTGCATGTTATTGTGTGAAAAATTAAATATTTTACGCTTTGCCGAACGATAACACACTTTTAATTTGGCCAGTGCAACACATTTCTCTTAAATAGCCGAGTTTTTATTAAATTCGTGAGAAATTAATATAATTGCGTTTTCTCGAGTGGCAGCACAATTTTTTTTTATATTGCCGAGTATTCTGATTAAATGTGAAACATATATATGTTACACTTTTGCAGACTGGCAATGCAAAGCTTTCAAACAGCTGAGTTTTTAATCAGAAATTCGATAAATTTGCTTAAAATATATGTATATCAAATTTTTTTTTATAAAAGTGGACGTCGGCCTTTACTAGGAGCCAGAAAAGAATTTTAGAAAGTTTGGTGACGGTAGCTATAGTAGTGACTGAGTGTATCGCGAACAAACAAACACGCAAACAAGTCTTTATATATGAAGATTACAGCTGTTCCTGAGGACTGTAGACATTGCGAAATGCCGCACTTTGCGACCTTTGTTCATACCCCTGAAAATTTCATGACGATTGTTATTGGCAAGCTCGATATTTTTTCTTGCAAATACTTTTTTGTATTTGTTTTATTGAAAGCACATAAAAAGTTGCATTTTATATCTACAAAATTTTGTTCAAAACTGTTTTCATATCTTTCTGTCCCTTATTTTGGAAATTTTTCTAATTGAGGTTACACCTGATCGATATTTAAGGAAATCAGTATTATAGCTATCTTTATGTGTCATCTTGTACCGTGTTGTTTTTACTGTGACTCATTTTCCTGATCTAAGCACAGCCTAGATCAGACCAGAATTCATCTTGACCAAGAGGGAAAGGATTGCATCTGTTATTGTTTGAGGCCTTGACCCCCTTACAAGTCACAGCGCGATTTTGCGCAACATCACACAAGAATATCCGGGAGTCAGAGGGCATCCTATTTCTCTCTAGGTATATATAGATATATAGGTATATAGCCTAAATATGTAGATGTAGTCCTAAAGGTAAATTTTCGAAAGTCTTTCCCTTCTTTCCTCATCACCAACCCCTGAAGAAAATATTCGACTCTAGGGCGTTTTCAAATGCATCATGCAACAAGGACACTATACTCTTATAATTATCTATGCATTCTTGGGGATTGAAACCCGGACGAAGGGTATGACAGCCGGTTTCCCTATCATCATGCAACAGGGCGGCACTCTGTAACGTGATGATTATTTTGTTACTATTAATAAAAAACATTTAGTTTTAAATTACCACGATAAATTCCATAATGAGACCATGATGATGATTAAATGCAAAGAAACTTACCTAAAAGAACCATCGATGCATGCATTATGACTTTGTCTTCGTTTTCAACAGCAATTTCAATAATTCTAGGAATTTTCCGCAAAATATCGACGAGTTCAGAAAGTATTAATCTTTTATACACTGTGAATTGACGATCATTTTCCAGATTTAAAATAGCGCAAGCAAAACATAGGTTATAGCTTAAACCTGCAGAACTGTGCTGTAAAATCCATTTTTTGTCATGAACTGGGGTACTACAGCAGCCTGGATTTTCCATTCAAATGAAATTTCGAACACCTAAATTTAAAAGAAGGAACAGAGGTTTTCTTCAAATAAAACTCACGTTCATATTGATATTTCAAACTATTTGCGATGTATGTGCTTTAAAACTTTTAAAGCTGCATGAAATTTACTTTTATAACTATATGAAGTACAACCTCTAACAAATACTCTGGCTAAAAGGTAATCTCTGCCACTGCGAAAAGTGCTAATAAAATCAAGTTTTACTAACCTAGTAAACATAGATATGGATTCTTAGAAAATCCCATTCAAGTCTTCAGTTAATAGGTAACTTAATGTAAAGATAAACGCAAAAGTTATGTGAATAACAGCGTACCCTCCTGGAGAATTTTCTGAAATGAATCTGATTCGTCTAAATGCACCTTCAAGCAGCCAATTCATACAACCACCAGGAAACATATCAGAATGTTCAGTGCTTTTATCCACTGTCTTATAAACTCAGTGAGAATAACTAAAAATACCTCTGTAATTATTGTATGACATTATATGGCATACTTTGTATTACGTATTTTGGTCAGCAAAACTTTATTTTTGTAATATTTTGTTTGATTCAGCTATTATATGTTGTTTGGCAGCTAGAAATATGTGAGCTTATTATTAGCTCAATGTTTTCATTATTTTCTGTCGCACACAGCTTAGTAATGATTTCTTTATTATTAAGTTAAATAGGAATTCTCCAGCAGAGTTTAAAATAAAAACACGCATAATTTCCGTGAAATGTACTGAATATATTTATAGTTCAATTGTTTATTTATTACAAAGTATCATAATTTATCATTTAAATAGCTCACGCATATAAATTATTCTGAATTATTTTTAGTGATTGCCAATTTTTTTTAACATATTTTGATCATATTTAACGCGCTTTTCGAAAATAGAACATTCCTGAGATTAAAAATAACAGAGATCTAAAATGCCAAATTAAAAATTTTATATTTTCCAAAATATATAAAAGAAATTAATTCTTCTGTTCTTATTTATTTATTTTTTTTTTCAAAAGTGAAGTTAAGGAAAATAATTAAGAAAAGTTTAAGAGAAAAAACAAGAGAAAATTTATTTAAACTATTTTCATTATAAACTATTGATATATGTACATATTTACTAAAATATTTCAATATTTTGCTTTAAATTCATTTATTTTATATCTTTTATGCAGATGCTCTTATAAAGAAAGACTTTTTGCAATTTTTAACTAAAAATATTAAATTACACTAAACATGAATTAAAAAAAATAAATATATAAATTAAATTTTTCTTATAAAAAAGCCTTCCTTCTAGCATTTATACATATACTTTTAAAAATATGCTTTTAAAAGGCCATGTATATTTCCCACGCAGATAAGCCCTACTTGTTAAGTACACCCTTAGTAAAATGATAGTATTTGAGTGCTGCTAACAGAATATATTAGAATACCATAGTTATTTATGTATTTGTGAAAACAAAATTTACAAAGCATTAAAATGTGTTCTGTCAGCTTCATTACTTATTTGTATAAATAAGTTTTCATTTAACAACCAATTCATTTCGTCAACGAATTGGATGCTAGTAAAACATTTCGTATATTTTACTTGTTCTTTTCATTTCGGAATTTACAGCATCTACACGATTTCGGAATTTACAGCATCTACACGATTTTACCTTTATATTTTACATGAATCAGGACAGTAAATATGATCGAATGCTGCTTTGTTGCCTGTTCTAAAGCGATCTTTTGCCACTTTTAACATCTCTGAATCTCAGTTCTTGAATATATGAATACCCATTTAATATTTTATCGTCACAGTTACGAAAGAAATGTAGAAAAAATAATAATAAATATTACAATAAGGAATACATATAGGAATAATAATAATAATAATAATAATAATAACAAAAAATTCTGAAAGGTTTCAGATTTTAAATTACGTCCAAAGAGGCGTTTTTTTACCATTTTGTCCGTTACCTTTATTTATTAAATATCACGTTCTTCGAGCTTAAACTATAAAATTCAGTTCAAGAGCAATATCGCAAAATAATTTTAAATTGAGCATATCTTTAGAAGAGTCTCGCGCGCTGGAGATTAAAATGTTTTTTTCTGTACAACGTTGCCATGGCTCGCTTTGAAATCCTTGAGTTTGTTAATCAAAAATTCGTTTAAGTTTTACAAAATCTGAAATCAATAGTAAAACAAATTTCAAATTTAAGCTTCCACATGCCCATATTCGCAGTAGGATTATGTCATTCAAAATTCGATGGCTCTATGTACACAATGCGAGAAATATACATACATTTATGCAGATTTTTCGCTATTTAATTTCTTCAAATATAATGCAGAACTCTAAAACATTTGGTGGCAACAGTTGTAGAGACATTAAGTATTTTTTTGGTAGCAGGCAAGATGAAAAATGAACAATCGCCTTCGCCGGGAATCGAGCCACGGACCTCTGGATACCGGCCCAGCGTGCAGAACCACTACACCACGAAGGCACGCTAGGAAGGCCGAAGAAATACCTTATGTAGTTTGAAAAGTGAAACGAACACTTATAGTGAACGCAAAATCGCAAAACGAAAACAATAGTCCTTCAGGGACAAAGCCCCTTTGGACTAATAATAAATAGTATTGTTTATTGATAACTTTAAGGGGAGCATTAGCAAACTATAGTATCACTGACAGCGCGTATTTAATTTTTGGGAAGCAAATGCGTATTTTCTTCCTTAATTCAGCCCTTAGCAACTACAAATATGTGAGTTTATGATTATTTCGTGATCGAAGTTTTCGTTACTGTTTGTTGTTCATTATTTTTCTATTTCGCTAAAGGATTCTCAACCTTTTTTCTGCCATTCACACATTTCACCACTGCTGGATCATCATTCCCCTCTATCTTTCTAAAACTCTAAATATATATATTTGTAATAATAAAATTCTATAGTCAAGAATACACTTAAAGTTCTAATTGTATGTTCTTTTCATTTTTAATGGCGACGTTCTTTTATTTGAAAGTACGTGGAATTAAATCCACAGCCCCGTAGTCAAGTTGTTTTTCCCGCCTTTTCTACACGTACAGTTATAGAATGTTCTGGAAATATTTAAAGCGAACTGGATTGGCTGACGAGGCTGACGTCATTTCTTGGAAGCTCCACCTTTCCAGAGGCTATAAAAGGACTCGCAAAGGAATATCAGGGCTTTTCTTTAATGCAACGATGCAGTAAACTTCATACAAAAAGTTATTAGTAATTCTTTTTATTTACTTCGGATATCTGATTTTGTAGCTGCTATTTCTCCTGAATAATAATAAATGGATCCTGTTTTTTAAACTTATCGTCTGATAATTTAAGCTACGACTACATCTATATTTCTTCAACGATCTATTTATTCTGGACAAAAGCTGATACATCACACACACACACACACATATATATATACATTTATTTAAATTTAGATTTTTATTGATGTGTTTTATGAATTAAACAAAAAAATATAGAAAATGTTAATAAATGCTGAAACTTGAACAAAAGTAGTTTTTTATATTCATAAACGAAAACTAACTTGTAAATAAAAGGCTGACCTCATTCCCCTCTAAAACTATGAATTGATCCTACCCCAGGTTGAGAACCCCTGATTTATATTGTTTGCCACTTGAAAATAAATTTTAACAAAATTATAATGTTATTATACGGTGAAGGTGCGTTGTTATATTATCAAAGAATCTTTTAATTAAAAAAGGTATGATTTTTTTGCATGTTTTACTTTATTTTCCTTTATTACTTATTATACAATAATTCTATCACTGAAAGAAATAGTATAAATTTTGTGCTAAACAATTTTACACTAAAATTGTTAACAGATTGTTCTAAGCAAAGAGCCAAAATTTTTTCAAAGTGAGATATATTTCTGACTAAAACCTCTGATTTCTTATCACCATTTAGAATAAATTTAAGTGGAGAATCATTTTTATCTCGTAGAATTATAAGCATATTGATGAATTACGTGTAAAAACTTGTAAATTAATGACCTGAGGTCATAAAAATTTACCTTTTTGAATTTTTCATAAAAGTTATAGGTGCTAATATAAAAAAAATAACAATCAAACTGTATAAACACGGTAACTGACTTAAATCACAATTTGTTCTTACTGAAAGTATTTAGAAAAATTTCCTAAAAAATTTCTAGTTCTCTTTTTCCTCTTCTGTCTTTTTCTCTAATTACTGATTGTAAAAAGAACACTGTGTAAGCATTCTCTGTAAAGGAAATCAACATCAATTTTAAAGTGTTCATGGGTCGTTCGTGAAGTAAACTTGACGGAATTTCAAGAAGAAAATTAAGAAAGGTAAACAAAAAACTTTGCCTAGATTTAACCCAAGTTATTTGTTTATTTAAAATTACAGATATTTTATGATAAATTTCAAAACATTTACTATGTGCATAACGATATCTTTTGGTAAAATTCCAGAGAAAATTGCCCAGACTCTAAACAGTTTATTATCTGAGAATGTTTATTCTTTTATGTATACATATGAGAATACGAGATTAAAGTAAACTTTTCTTAGAATTTATAAACTGTTTTTTAAAACATTTTATGAACTGAAGACACTAATCAACACTTTATTAACTGATAAATACATTATCACTGTACTAGAAGCATACAGTAACTTTGCTTAGTAAATAAAACAAATGAAATTGTTTTATTTACAAAGCTATCCACACTGAGTGTATATAATAATAATACATAGAATATACTTTTCGTTAAGATGAATATACTAAGTTTAATTAGCTTAAATATACACAACTTCATGAATTTTCCATATATCAAACACATCTTTTAGTTTCTTAATGCAATCAAAATAAATGCAATTTGTTTTTCAAGTTAAAGATCGATGCAAAATTGCGTTTATAAAATCTGCAATAACTGAAACTTAACTTCATTCAGAAACTAATCTTTAGATAATTTTTGTAAAACTTTAACATTCTTTTATATAAACATTGTAACAATATTTTATAACTTTATTTGTTTTTA